GTGGATTCATCTACGTGCGCGCGCGTGCGGCACAGATCGATGCGCACATCTCGGACGCCATATGAAGATGTTACGCGAATGTTATTATCACATTTGACTGATGCGAGGCGGATGTAACGGGTGAGGAAAATGGATGACGAATACTGCGGGATATTATGTCACGCAGAGGGGGAAGAAAAGGAGAGAGAGAGAGAGATCGGAGGATCCCATGTACAATATAATCATATTTATCTTATACATTTCGTCATATCCTCATGCACGTTCAACGTGATTCGACGTTTCACCCACATTTGCGCACATGGCCACATTGGCACATGAATGAGCCAATTTCGCTGCAAACTGACGTTCCACCCACGTTAATCACGCAAACAATCGCTCGAGAACAAGTAAGCCAACAGTAATCAGCCGAAAGTAAGCTAACGAGTTTCTATTTGGTGAAAGAAGCTATGCTTTTTCTTCAAGTATCAAACGTTTTTTTTTACTTCCCACATCGTTTATGAAATAGGATTCTCATAATAAGATCCAAAATCGAGGCAATACTCGAGGAATTACTTTAGGTAACAAAGTAACGATGTTTCGAAAAGACTTTATTTCAAAATTTTCAATTACGGAGTTTTTTGTTAACTATAAATAACATTAATAATAATAATAGTAGTAGTAATAAGTAGTAGTAATAATAGTAGTAGTAATAATAATAATAATAATATTTTTATCCTTTAATTTCATTAGGTATATTAATGATGAAACACGATAATCAGGGGTAAATAACAAAATTCCAAATAAAATACTTGTTTTATTAAATTTTATTTTACCAACATAAATGGCATTATTTTCCGAAATTATGAGCGATCTTTAATCATCAACAGTACGTAGAAGTGTACACTTTCGGTATCACACGCATATTATACAAGACCAAGTTAAGCTGATCGAACACAACATATCGCGTTAACCGTGCGTCAACGTGCTTCCGCGGATCTTGTTTAACTACCATGTATATACCATAGCAAACAGACCATACTGTGACAAGACACAAGCTACAAGACAGTATTAGTTCACATCTCTGTTACGTGAGTTAAAACAACAAGCTCACAGAAGGAATCTAAATTATTCCTTTATCAGACCATACATCAGAATGTTTTGAGTATTCTATTAGCTTATTATTTTCTGTATAAATTTACTTGTAATTTTACGTGCGTATAAAATTTAGAAGATTAAAAACCGTTTTTGAAACTTTTAAGGCAAATTAGATAATTAGAACTATGAATAATAAGAAAAAGTCTCTTGGAAGCGAGAATATAAAATTGACGAAGAATAAATAATAGAATATTTTATGAAATATAATATGGAATAAACTTAATTTTGTAATTTATAATAATTATTGGATCATGCGAAAATGATTCGAAAACGTTTGCTCAAACATTTGGTAGAAACAATAGCATCAAGATACACGATTACCAGAGGAAGAGTGGGCGACAATAATTAAAGGCGCGGTCGGATGGAAAGTAATCGGGTGCGCTATCGATCCGAATGCATCGATGAAAGCCGCCAGGGCGAACGACAGAGCAGCAACTCGATAGACGCTATCGCGCTCCAATGGTCGATCCTTTAAATTAATCGCTATGAAACGCCATTGCAATGGTGAAACCGCAGTAAAACTAAAGCTCGCCTCGCTTGCTAGTGTTGCGTTCAATTCGCAATAAGAGCTACACACTTGGTACCCGATAAGAGCTATCGATGATCGCGTGTTATACATTCGTGGTCACTGAAAAATATAAACTGGTTTTATTACTCAGCTAGTGCGACAAATTCTGACGTAATCAAAACGAAAACGAGCTGAAAAGGAACAATCCTTTTATATTTAAGTCAATATCATCTAATATAATTGTAATGACTAGAAACAGTTTTTAACTATATGTTGATTGCTGGTATATTACAATATATTTATTAATCCGAAATTAAAGGTTAACATAAATATTTATTAAAAAGAAATACAAGCGAATTAATATAAAAAGAAATACAAGCGAATACATACGAATACAATTCTTATATCTATAAATGCCAAAAATAACCACAAATTATTATACATATATGACATATAATAAACATATATATATAAACATAATTTTAAATTATACGAATAATAAAATAAATGTCATATACGTATTTTAAATTTTGATAAAAAGTAAAATAAAAAATTAAATAAATAAGAGAGTATCATTCTATATATTTTTGAAAAGTGAAAATAGATATAATAATTAAAAATCGCAAATAATGACTAAAAGAAATATATCAATTTGTAAAATTTTTGAAAAAGAGATATGAATACTATTTGATCACTGATGCAGCTTTGATGGACAGTTTCATAACGACAGATCGAACTGTAAATTAATCATCGCGAAACGCCGCAAAGCGCTATTGAAAAGTCATGTGCATTCAATTAAAAAAGGAAATATAGGCTGATAACCACATATGTTTGCAAATACCTTTCGTCGGAAATTATTTATCGGAAATTATCTCACGGGATTTTGTACGAAACGATTCTATAATAAATATTATTGACAGATAAAAATGATCTCCAGTTTCATGAAAAATCGCGGGACAGAATCAAACGTACTATATATGATATTAAATCAATTTCATTCTAAAACTTTTTCCCTTGCAAATACCGATGCAAAGACGAAAACTTTAATTAAACCCGTGACTGAGCCAAATTCAATCGTAACTTTTATATTCTAATTTAAATCGTTAAAATATATATCGTCATTTTTTTATATCGTCATATGCGAATTTTCCAGATATTAGATTTAAAATCAAAAGATAGATCATACAAAATGTCAGCACATTTTTGGATTCATTTCACTTTTCATCGTCTGAAATCTCACGTGGATTTTATTCAATCAAATTTTTATCTGAAAAAGTTACGTCATCACGGTTTCAGCAAATTCGCGTAAAGAATCTCACTTTTTATTTGTTTTTCGAGACGAAAATATAACGTAATATGTTCAATCCTCTGGACTACGTTTGCAACAAACGTAGTTAAATTTAAATCTTTTAAAGCGATTTTTCAATTTCTTTTAAATAAAAAAAAAAGGATTTACATTAACAATATTACAAAATACATTACAAAATTAATTTATCAGAGATGTCTTTACATTACATATCTAAGCACTTTGGAGTATTTATTATATCATATAGATAATATTATAACTAATAATACCTACATAATAATTACAGGATATTTGAAAAATGTAACATACAAATTCTTAACTAAGATTTCCTCGTATTAATTTTTGTATTAAATATTTTTTATGACATTTATTATTTAAATAAGAAATTTTTTTATTTCTCTTTTTTATTACTGTGCTTTCTTTAAAAATTCATTTAATATAGAAAAATTACTACAGTTCAAATAGTGTATGTGACTTTTCGATTTCATACAAGTTGTACTTCAACTTATATAATGCCCGACATAAAAGGGTACAATAAAACCTGTATGGGGAGATCCCTCGTTTCATATAAAAAGACTTTTTCTTCCTTTTTTTGAAGTAATCGTTATCCCAATTAACTTCTGCTTCTGCCTGATAAACATGCCTGATAAATCCTTCACCCGAAATTTTTGATGTTTCTTATTTAATTATGCTATATTTAATTTTGCTATGTAATGCAATATTTGTTCATGAAATATTCTCATGAATAACTGTACTTTTATTTAAAAAAACACTAATTATATTATAATTTCTTTAATAATTTCTTTAATAGTAATTATAATTGAATAAGATTGTATTTAGCATTATAAAATATAAAAGAATATTGATACAATATAAACAATATATCTTTATAGCATTACGTATAGTTAAATTTATCTGTTTAATTTATGATATTACATTTATGATATTTATGCGTTTTTATCTTTTTGTGATATTAATAGGTATTTGGTATCGATAAAAAATAAGTATATTATATGAATTAAATATATAAATTTAACTTAAAGTGTGATAATTTTTATTTTGTTTATACTACACTAATTTTTTTTTAATTATTATATTTAATTTCTTAATCGAGAAAAATAATATTTCTTAATATCGCTGTATATTATGTTACATGTTTTATTAGATAAAGTATTTAGTATTGCAATAGTATCACAACAATAGATAAAATTCATTTCATTTTATTTTGCTCCTGCTTATCCCATTATATCCCATTATACTTTTTTATTTTTATTTTCATCATACTTGGCAACAATAGTACTACTTCCAGACGTGACTGTACGTGCCTGATGCTCTTCGTTTACAAGTTTTATTAATACAAATGGATCACGATGAATGGAACACATATAAATTCTGTCAGTGAACAATTTTCATCTCACGGGGCCGACTCGTTTATCCTTCTGACTTTTGCTTCGTACATTCTTTACGCGCGAATCATAAATACGAATTTTCCGCTCGACTATCCATAGCTCTTTATCTGACCTCTTCGAATAGGTTCAAATTTGTTGCTTGTCAAAGGACATATTTTGAAAGAAAGGCAACACGTATTTTTGGACTACCTATTTCTTGAAAACTTCATATATTTTCTCTTAAAATAATGTGACAGAAATAGTATATAATAATTTTCTTATTTTTGTATTTTTACATTCGTTCTAATATCGTTCTTGATAAAACATAATGAATTATATGATAATCACAATTAATTCCTTTAATATAATATTCTATTATTATAATATTGAACCAAGAAATTAATTATCAAATCAGATAGGAAAATAAATAACATTATAAGAAAATTTATTTATTTGATTCATAACAAATTAAATCTATAAAATTATAAATCATAATTGTACAAAGTAATTTACTGGAGAAAACAAAATATATTGCTCTAGATATTTTGTAAGTTTCTCTTTTATTGTAATAAACACAATCATTTTGAATAAAACAAACTTTTAATATATTTCACTTTATTCCTTATGTAATGAAACTTGCTTTACAAATGTCTTTCAATTTCAGGTAACGCTTTCCATCTCGATTCTCATCAGTCTGCACGTGTTCTTTCTACTGGTCGTTGAGATCATCCCACCGACTTCGCTAGTTGTACCACTGCTTGGAAAGTACCTGATATTTGCCATGATACTCGTCTCGATAAGGTAAATATTTTAACTTTACACGAAAGTGAAAGACGAAGAACTTCACAGCAGAAAATTATTCGCGCTACATTTGCCAATTTGACGCAGCCGAGAAGAGAAAAGCATTTCTGATTGTGACAAACTAGATGTAGATGAATACAGAAATAATTTTCAGTAATTTCCATATAATATCGTAGGAAACATTTTCTACATTGTTCCATTTTGCTCGCATTATCACATTTTCTTGTCGTGTTAGTGCGCTATCATCGTTATCGATTAACGCTTCAGCGGCGATTCATCAGTTCGTGTTTACGACAGCAACAATTTCGTAGCAATATAGTCTCATGGAGAATCGTAAAGGGGCTATACAATGACACTTGTATTGGTCAGCGAAAAACGGAAAAATGACGATGAGAGTTTGAATCGCGCTTGTTTGTATTCGCTCTGAAACGGTGATTCTGATAACAATTGTAGAAACAATATTTGCAGTTGTTCTATAATATTTTTTCTCTCTCACGCAAAATAATTGATATACAC